GATCAAGCTCAACAAGAGCATCTATGGAACCAACGACGCGGCAAGGGCCTGGCATGAGAGGGTTGTCCAGATCCTGCGAGACATCGGCGTCGAGAAGCGTCAGTCCGAGACTGCCGCCTTCAAGTTGGTGAACCAAGGGATGTCGTTTGGGCTACTATGCCTACACGTCGATGACATGCTCATGGCCTTCGGCATGGAGAACAACAAGGAGTTCTGCGATCACGCGATCCAGCAGTTGAGGAGCCAGGAAGTTTGGAGACTGGCATGATCTACAGAACGCGCCAGAAGGAGCCACGTTTACTGGGCGACGCTTCCAGCAGGGCAAGGACTGTGTTATCCTTACCGACATGGACAACGACATCGACGCGATGACGGACTACCGAATGCCCCGCGAATGGGCCAATCAGGAGAAGGAGCTACTTACCTCTGCTGAACACCGAGCGCTTCGTGGCATGAGTGGACAAGTTCAGTGGGTGGTGCGTCTACTGCTTCATAAATACAGTTTCGAGGCATCGCGGCTTGCTGGCCAGATGTCGAAGCCGACGGCGCAGGACATGAAGGACATGCATAGTTGGGCGCGGTCTATACGCCGCAATGGGAAGACTCAGATGGTATCTCGCTGAGGTTTTGATTTGAAAAGTCTGTCATTATATCTTCACGCGACGCATCGTTCGATGACGCGCCCAACCTTAAGTGCCAACGTGGTTGTTTATATTATGGTGGAAGGTGGCAACATGACTGATGACCACGCGAAGCCAGATCCCCTGCATGGTTTTGGGATGGTCGAGTGGGCGCATTGGACGCCCAGTACGGAGTACTCTCTCAGCAGAGGCTTACAGCTCTTCCGAAGCTCACGGCGTTTGCTTTTGGACACGTGCAGCGTGCGCGGATATCCTTTCAGCCAGTAGGCTTGGCCATGGGCATCGTCAGGCAGCGGAGGAGTGGAAAGGGAGATTTAGTGACATATTGCCGTTCTCTCTGGGATTGTTGCGAGGGAGCGCGTTCATTTAGCAGATCGTAGACTTTCCTTGGAGGCAGCCGTCCGCAGGTGGGAATGCCAACGTGGAGGTATCAAATGGGCCCGATCTGAACAGCAACTGGCTGACGGACTTACCGAGAAGATGGATGCACCTTACCAGGGCCGACTTGTCCATGAGAGACTCTGGACGTTCGGGCCAGATGCCCGAGCACCTTCGCTCAGGGAGCGGAAACTGACAGATCCTTGGGTGGAGACTCAGCGAGCACAGCGAGGTGAACTACAACAGGACGCCGGCGAAATGAAAGCCATTTACGCCAAACCGAAGGGCCGTAGCGCTGTCGACGAGATTGCGAGGAGGTGTACATGAGGCTGCATGCCATTCTGAAGTGGGCAGTGCAGTTCGTACATCTGTGACGCGCCCATCGCGTGCCATGCTTTTTGTTGCAGGCGTTTTGGCAAACAGTTTTTCGTTTGGGTCTTCCGTGCCAGCTCTTGTAGCAGCAGCTGCGGTGACGACGGCGTCGGTGCGAGCAGTTTGCCAGATTTCAACGGCTTTGGCTCAACCTTTCGACGATTGGTCGAGGTTTGCGCTCTCACCAGCCCGGACGTTTGCGACAGGTTTTCTGATAGGAGCTCGTGTAAGGATTGGTTTGTGCATTTCTCTGTGGCAGCATATGCAAATGACAGATGGTCCTACACCAATGCCAGAGGCGAAAGATGTCAGTGCTATGCCGACTGCGACTGTTTGATCCCAGTTGTCATCCCACGTTGCAGTACAGAAGGTCGATAGGCACCGTCCGACCGATCGGACGCACGCAGAAGGCTCGGGAGCATGCGAGTCTGTGATATTCAGGCTGTGCTTCGCGAGATGCGTTTACCGGCGTCAGGAATCAAGGTCGATTCGGTCACGGGGACCCATTCTCACTGCGAGGCGAAACCTAGCGAGGTTCGTGTCTAACTCGTTGTGTTTCCCGTTGGGCTGTGAAAGGAACGGCCGTGCGCTCTTTGTGTGTAACCTGCTGGTTTCCAGTTCTAATGCTGGAGATGTTTATACTTTGCGTGAGGATGAGTGTGGTTTGCCCGTATATGTGCAGCTAGGAACGCAGTATATAAGCAGCTGGAGAGGAGAGACAGCATGATAGATGTTGCGGCCATTTCTCTCAACGATTTCAGGGGATCCCCTTTCGAGCTATCAGCGATCACACGTCATCAAATGTTTGCTTCGGCGATTCCCTGATATCAACAGCTGGGTGTGCGAGGTCGAGAGGACCTTTTTTCATATTTCTCGACTCCGCGGAGGTTGCGTGCGTAGAGGAGAATCAGACTGGCCAATCTTCGTAGCATTGACACTTGGGGCCGTCTTGGGGGCCTCTTGGGCCGTCATGGGGCCATCTCGGACGCCTCGTGGTTGATCTTGCGGCGATATTGGGGGCTTTCTGGGCCGTTTTGAGCCGTCGGAAAGCCGAAAAGAAACAAAGGTCAAACACCTCCCAACCCCCGGGGAAATCAATGATTTTGGCCTCTTCGGGCCCTCCTTGAGGACCTCTTGGAGGCCTCTTGGGTCGTCTTGGGCCGTCTTGGAGGCCTCTTAGGCGAACGTGGGGGCATCTTGGACTCTCTTGGGCCATCACGGGGGCCGTCTTGGACCATCTTGGGCGGACTTGGAGGCCATCTTGGAGGCCATCTTGGAGGCCATCTTGGGCCAACGTGGCCATATTGGAGGCCATCTTGGGCCATCTTGGAGGATTTTTTTCCGGATGGAGGTCGTTGGCGGTCTTTCCAGGTGGCCGGCGGGACGGGCCGAAACCCCAGGGAGAGTTTTTTTGGGAAGAAGAACCAAAACCAAATCCGAGACGGTTCAGCACGCCAGGCATCCCTGCGATGAATCGACAGGTGGCGGCGGATCTTAGTGGCCTTCGGCCCATCCCGCCGGGTCTGAGGCCTCTTGTACACGTGTTGGGGTGTCGGGGGGTGCCTTTTCGGGGGCCTCTTGGAGGCGGCTTAGGCGCCTCTTGGGGGCCTCTTGGGGCCTCGTGGAGTATCTTTCGGGTTTCTTGGAGGCCACTTGAGCGCGTCTTGGGCGCCCCTGGGAGCCTCTTATGTGAGATCGTGGCCTCGGGGGCGCGACTATGGCGCAATTTGCACGGGATCGTAGCCTCGGAGGCGCGAGCGTGGCGTAATTTACACGGCGTGGCGTAATTGATTCGGCATCGTGGCCTCGGGTGCGCGAGTGTGGCGTAATTCACGGGGGATCGTGGCCTCTTAGGCGCGATTGGCGTATTTTGCAAAGGATCTTGGCCCCAGAGGCGATAATGTTGCGTAATTTACAAAAGGATCGTGATTCCAGGAGAATGAATATGCAGTATTTCAAAAGGGTGTACCAAACGCGTCACCTGGGTGCCCGAAAAGGTACCCGTTAGAGAACGTGCATTCGCTCCAGGCTATTTCGGTCCCAATCAAACGCTCATAGGGGAACAACAAGTGGCATAAACATAAAAACTTGGAGGTCCGCGCGGATATCTCGGATCGGCATTGGGGTCCCTCGGCGGCGCCTCCAGTGCCGCCCCTGGCGCGCTCCGCGCGCCAGGGAGGGGGGGGGGTCTAGCGCCGATCCGAGAAATCCGCGTGGACCTCCGAGTTTTATGTTTATGTCACTTTTTGTTCCCCTAGCTCACAGAAGGACGTGTCCAGAAAAGATGTGCGCGCGGGCCCGAGTTGCAACGGGGGTTGGTCCCCAGCAGGGCCTTGCAGTCCCCGCATCCCATGCGGCCCATGCTGGCGATATGGGCGATGTGAGTCGTGCGGCCCTTGCGGCTTGCCGAGCTCATCGGGCCCATGTGGAATACCACGATTCCGCCCGCGGAACAAGTCGCCGTCCGCGCCCAGGTGTCGCCCGTGTCGTTGCACGCCTTACGCTGTGCAGAAGCCACAGCGACAATGGCGTCACCAGCACGCGAGCAGCGGTTTTGTGTTTTTTGTACGGGGATTGTTTCGGTTTTCTGCCAGGCGGCGCCATGCGATAGTCTCGCACAAAAAACCATGGTGTTGCTCAGGTTTCCAGCATTTGTACTGAAACCCGGCCAGAATATTAGCATCATCGTCGTCATGCCCATTCGCGGCGTCATCATCATCCACATGGTTACCACCAAAATCGCCAGCATCATTATGTACATCGCCTTTTTGTCGTCATCGTCATCATCGCCATCATCAAGTTCACCATCGTTTGCGTCGCGCCTATGCGGCCAGCGCCATGGCCTTACCACTTGCAACAGTTCCATCCTCATCATCCCGCTTGCATGTTTGCGTCGCGCTCGTTCTGAAACAGGACGGCGAAAAAGGTTGAGGGTTTGAGGTTTGTTCGCGCGGGCCCTCACAACTTCAGGAGCGCGTCTCTCTTGGAGGCCTCCTGGGGTGCTCCTCAGAGGCAGCGGCGCGGAGCTTCGGAAAGGCGCCCCGGTAGACCTCCGATATGCGCCACGGGGGAGAGCTGAGAGAAGCCACCCCAGGAGGCTTCTGAGAGGCTCCACGGGCGGCCTCTGTGAGGCCACCGGGGACTTCCCAGGAGGCCTCTCGGAGGCGCCCAGGGAAGCCTCGTGGAGGCCCCCCCAGGAGGCTTCTGATTCCCCCGCCCGCCCCAAGCGGCCTCTGATGCACCCCTTCCCCGTGGTTTACGTGCGCAGCCCAGCAGGGCGGCGCCCTGATCCACCCTTCCCCCGTGGATTAACTCCAAAGTTAACTCACGGGGCCCAGGGCGGCGCCTTTATCCACCCCTTTCCCCGTGGATTCACTCCGGAGTTAAGTCACGGGTCCCAGGGCGGCGCCCTGATCCACCCCTCCTCCGTGGATTAACTCCGGAGTTAATTCTTTTTTCCAGAGTGGATCTTGCTACCGGCTTTCCCGTGGTAAACTTCGGGGCTAATTCTTCCCAAGGTGGATCGCCGTGCCGGCTTTCCCGCGGATTCACTCCGTTTTTTTTTTTCTACCCGGATTCAGCTGCTTCCGGGGGGGGGGGGGATGTGATCCGCGCTGGCTCGGCAGCCGCCAAGACTCGGGCCCACCCCCGGGGTGAAGCCGCCCGCGATGCTGCCGGAGGGGCTCCGCCGCTGAGGGGCGCCGCGTCGGCTGACGATGTGGCCCAGGCTCGTCGCCCCGCCGTCGCCCCGAGAAGTCCGCGCGGCCCCCCCTTCCCCGCAAGCCCCTCCTCCTCCTCCTCCTCCTCCTCCTGCTCCTCCTCCTCGTCGTCCTCCTCCTCCTCCTCGTCGTCCTCCTCCTCCTCCTCCTGGCGAGCCGCGCCCCGACGCCCTCGCGCCGCGGCACGGCGCCGCCGCGACGGCAGGCTTTCGGGCGTGCCTGCCGGCTCGCCGAGGGGCCTTCCTGTGAGGTCGGGCCTGTCCCTCTGCAGGAGTATTCAAACTTATCCCAGTGCGACCCTACCTAGGAGTTGGAGGATCTAGGAAAGCAACATCTATATAAAGCCAAGTTAAGCTAAGATGAAGCTAAGCTAAGATGAAATAAGCTAAGCTAAGATGAGATAAGCAACGCTAAGCTAAGGGGACGTAACTGGGGGAACCGCGGGGCGGATATTGGGGGAACCGCCCAGGGCGAGTTGCACTGCCCGGCCCTTTAAGCATACCGAGTAAGAACCCTTCGAGGCAGAGCCTAGGTAGGGAAATAGTTCAAAGATCGTCAGGGGGCGATTTTTTGACTATGTTTCACCATTTGGGGGCACTGTTTGACCAGTCTGATTTTTCGTCCAAAACCCGCCTGTAGGAGGACCTGCCGACCTGAGCCTTCCGGCCCCCGCGCGTGCTCTCCGCCAGCCGTGCCCCGCCGAGGGAGCTCCAGGGGTGCCCGGCGATCGATGGCCCGAGCGATCGATGGCCCGAAGCCGGACTGGGTTTCGGAGGAGAGGAGGGTACCCCTACCTCACCACCCACCAAACCACCCCAACCCAACCCGAAGGCCTCTTTCCAACCCAACATCGGAGGAGAGGAGGGTACCCCTACCGGGTACCCCTACTGCTACCCCTCTCCAGTTTTTGTTCTCGTTGGGTCTCCTGGGAGGCCCTCGTCGCCACCGCCGGACTCTCTTCGAAATTCTGGGCAGTCAAGGCGCCCAGGGCCCAGGGAGAGGTCCAGGGAGCAGCGGTGTCAGTATCTTTCGCTTTCCCTTGAGTTTTGTGCGCGGTTTTTGGCCTTCGATGGGCCCTCACTGGGCCCCGGGTGCGTCGAAAAACGGCTCAGGATGAAAAAACCGGCCCCAGGGCAAAGGTCGGGATTTTTGGGGTCCGCGTAATCATCGAGGGGATCGACTACAAACTTGATTTACCCCAAAGTTGGTTTGATCGTCGAATTTACGAGAAATGCGTAGCATGCTGGTAGGTCAACGGAACAATGTCCGCATGTCTTGTGGATTCGGCTGGAATGTCAGTTTTGAGGTAAATCCACTTTGCAGTCGATCCCCGATTCGAAATCAAGATATCGGATGGTTGGGTCGCAAGGCTGTTCCAGAGAGGGCTCCGCATTCGAGAGTCGAATGAGTTGAATTCTCGGCCTCGGCGGAGGGAGGCGGAAGTACAGCGGCTGCGTTCTCACCGGCGGAAGCAGGCGGAAGGCCGCGGAAGTAGAAGGGAGGCGGCAATGTTTGTGGATCCAGGTTTCTGGAGTCGCCCAGATTGGGCCCGAGCAGATGGGGTGGGAGGATTGCGCCGCTTCGCCGACGCATCCGCGGCGCGGCTCGATGTGGGGCCCGATTTTCTGGAAGCCGACGGCGCCGATGCAACTGCGATGCGGCAAGATCCTCGGAGCTCATCTACTCGGACCCCTCCAGACATCCGACGATGTGTTGTTGTTCGCCGCCCGTGGCCCTCAAAGTTGAACGCCGCCCGTGGCCCAAAATCGACTCATCGTTGGACGATCTGACGCGTCTTAGCCTGCCGCTCGTTCAAGGTTGAGCGATCCCCGCTGTGTCAGGAACCAACGCTGGGGTCGGCACGACACGAACCCATGGTAGCCTGGGCTGGCTTCGCAACGTTGTAAGCCGGGTCTGGGCGCATGGGATAACCCTTACTGTCGACACAGTTGTCCATGTAAAGAGTGGCCATAGAAAAAGCCTTGCCGGTCGCAGTGACCCAAGATCGAACTCCCCGCCCTCGGCGGTTCACCTTGCGCGTAGCGCTGCGTCTTCGAACAATGGTTTAATGCATGTCGGTTTCTGGCCATCGGAATTTCCGATGGTTCGGGGAGGGGTTCACCATGTTTTTGTGTAGATATGTTGGGGCCTGACTTGGCAGGTTGTTGGAGGGTTTTAGGGGCTGCAGCCGTAAACCAGAGCTTAGCGGACCGCGGTTGACACAAGGCCATCGAATAAACGATGCCGGCCCCCTGCCGCCCTGGCTCACCCAGGAACGGCTCCTACCCGGGAGGCTTCCCCTGGCATTTGCCGACCTGTCTTTATTCCTGCCCACGGCCCCAGGGGTCCCGACCGCTCCCCCGGCCCCAGCTCCACGTTTGATGGCCCCCGGGGCCCAGAGACGGCGACCCGAGGGCCGAAATCGAGGAACCGCCGCCAGGTGGAACAGTCGGGCCGTCGGGTCGGAGATTCCGGTCGGGGAGGCCCCTCGGCCTGCCCGGCAGCGGATCACCTGGGTCAGTCTGCGCTCTGGCCGCTCTCTGCCCCCCCAGCGCACCCCCCGTGATCGAGGATCCTCTCTCCTCGGCTCTGGATCCTCGAGCCTCGATGGACGATCCTCGATCCTCGATGGAGGATCTCGCACCTGGATCCCCGAACCCCGACCCCCGACCCTCGATCGAGGACCTCGAGCCTCTATCGAGGGTCCGCGAGTCTTGAATCCTCGCTCCTCGATCGAGGATCCTCGAACATGGATCCCCGAGCCCAGACCCCCGACCCTCGGTCGAGGACCTCGAACCTCGATCGAGGGTCCGAGAGTCTCAGATGCTCCCCAGACGTGCGACGTCCTGAATTTTTCTGGACGCGGTCATCAGCAGTCCCGATCTTGTCCCCAGGACCAACTGTTCACCCCGAGCCGCTCTTGGACAGTCGCCCGGCGCCCCGCGAGGACCCCGGAGGCCGAAAACCGGCGACAGACCTCCCGTCTTGATTGTTGCGTGTCTGGAGGAGGAGGAGGAGGAGGAGGAGGAGGAGGAGGAGGAGGAGGAGGAGGAGGAGGAGGAGGAGGAGGAGGAGGAGGAGGAGGAGGAGGAGGAGGAGGGGAGGAGGAGGAGCAGGAGAGGAGGAGGAGCAGAGGAGGAGGAGCAGGAGAGGAGGGAGAGGAGGAGGAGGAGGAGGGAGGAGGAGGAGGAGGAGGAGGAGGAGGAGGAGGAGCAGGAGGAAGAGGAGGAGGATCGATCGTCTGGGTCGATCCTCGATCGAGGCACCTCGAGCCTCGAGAGCCTCAGGCGGCGGCGCCCCCCCGCTGCGCGGGCGCGGGCCGCGCTGGTGGCCCTGGCGCACGCGGCCGCCGTCTGCAGCGGCGGTGCCGCGGGGGCCACGGGGGGCCTCCAGCCGATCGACGTCCCGCTGGCCAGGCCGCCGCCGCCGCCGCCCTGCCTGTAAGCCGGGCCTGTCCCCCTGCACGGGACGATTGTTGGACCATTTTTGGATATTTTTCGGGGTATGGTTTGGGCAGTTGTTCCCCACCATCCTGTGGTGTGGGTCTTTGTCTTGAAGAGACAGCGCCCCGCGTCCCACTCCTCCTCCTCCTCCTCCTCCTCCTCCTCCTCCTCCTCCTCCTCCTCCTCCTCCTCCTCCCGCTGCCCCCTCCCTCCTCCCCCTCCTCCCTCCTCCTCCTTCCCATGACGCTTCCAGAGTGAAATCGGGCCTGTCCCTCTAGAGGAGGAATCCTCAAACATAGTCTAACAATATTCTGGGGACGATATCTTGAATATTCTCGTTGATCAATTTGGGGCTCCTTCTGGGGTCTGTGTCATTTTCCGCCCTACATCCCCCTGTAGGGGGACAGGCCCGACCTAATTCTAGAGGCTGCAGGGGAGAGGAGGACGCAGGGGGGGAGGTCTCGGCGGTGTCCCAGCCTCGGGATGCAGCGGCTGCGCCTCGCCGAGAGCGTTCAGGGGTGGATAGACCTCCTACCCTGACACGTTGATTAGCGAATTGGCCGTCTTCGGTTCGCGAGAGGGCGTCGCGGCCGTCCTTTCTGCGGGTCCAGGTCCGTCGGTTTCGGTCCCAGGCCGTTGTCACGAAAGGGTGGTTTGCGAAAGGGAGGTCTGCCCACCGCCGACGGGGGGGGGGCGGATCTCCCCGGACGGCAGCCGGAGTGCCGAGACATGGCCCGAACGCTGCAGGATCAGGAGGGGAAAAAACACACAGACACAATTCATCGTCGATCCCCAGGAAAATATGGGAAATATGGGAAGTGGGGGGGAAAGGCAAAAACCAGAAAAATATGGGAACATGTGGGGAATATGTTTGTTTGTGTGTATGTATTTGTGCGTCCTGGAGCCCCTTCAAGTCAGTCTACAAAGACTGACGCCACATCCGCCGACCCTGGGACTCGGCTTTGTTTTGCTCTCTGGACTTTTATTGCAGTGCCCACATCATCAGACTCGCGAGGATGGCATTCGAGCAAGGAGTTGATCCCCGTTCTCCCCCTCGGAGGCCTCCTTCGGGTTCCCTGGGGTCGTGAATCGTGCCTGCGTTGTCGTCGTCGTCGTCGTTTTCTCCGCAACTCCTGGCTGGGCTCCGTCCTTAGTGACTAGGCGGTCCTCGGGGCGAGGCGCTAGCTTTCGGCGACGCCCCGAGCGCCCCCTCGCCCCGTGCTTTAACAGCCCCATCGGGCTTCTCCTCCGAGCCTGTCGTAGCAGCCTGCAGTAGACAAGACGAGAGGTTCCTTGGAGTTCCGCTCCGTTCCGTTCTCCTCCTCCGCATCTGTTTTTTCCGTCCTCCTCATCGCCTCCTCCCCCTCCTGGCAATAGTATTTCTCCTCGAGGGGCGGCCGTGGCAGGGGAACTCTTGAAGGAACTCGAAGGGGAACAGGGGGTGGGAGACGGAGCCCTGGCAAAGGCGCAGCTCAGTCCTCTTGATGTGCCCAGTGAGATGTTAGCAGAGAAGGGAATATGGGTTAGCCTGGAGCATATTGTGTGTGAGCAGGTGCGCAGCTCAGGTGCGAATGTAAAACGCAATCGTGCCCCAAGGGGCAGCATGGCCCGGCAGCTCGACGGTGGCGAGAAGCTCCAAATGGCAAGGGGGCTCAAGTCCCTCCTCGGCCGCTTGCCCGTGCTGGGCCTTGTCGTGCTCGCCTGCCAGCTTGCTGCATGCGTGCACGTATGTCTGCCTCCTCCTCCTCCTCCTCCTCCTCCTCCTCCTCCCTGCTGTCCCAGAGTACGAGAGACGGTTTGCCGCCCTCGCGGAGCGAGTGCGTGCTGAGGAGGCGTTCGAGGCAGAAGTGTGATTTCAGGTCGTGGCGCCGGGTTGTGCATAGGAGCGGGCGAAAAACTCACGAACATACGTTACGCTGATGACATCATGTTGTACGCGAGTTCTGCCGACGAGCCGGCCGCCATGATGGAAATTCTTATTGAGGAGCTTGACACAGTTGGTCTCCAGCTAAATCCGGAGAAGGCAAAGATTCTTACCACGGAGGAGGGGATGGAGACTATGTTCATTGAGATTGGCGAGCACATGCTGAAAGTCATGGGAGGCAATGATGTCCACAAGTATGTGGGAAAAAGTATACCCGGGAGTTTGAAACATCGTAACGATATCGAGTTGGGTCGACGATTCCAGCGAGCTTGGCACAAATTTCATGAACACCGTCATGTTCTCACAGACCAGAACGTATTCGTAAGACTGCGGCTGAAGCTTTTCCAATCAGTCATTACACCTACATTGTTGTTCGGACTATCGGCTGCGGCTCTGACCAAGCATCAAACGCAATCCCTGGACGTCCTTCAGAATAAGATGCTTCGCTTGGTTGTTGGTTGGAGGCGTTGCGAGGGCGAGGACTGGGCAGACACCATGAGACGCCTGAGGGACAGAATCGCCAATGCAAAGCAGATCTTTCCGATTGAAAAATGGAGTGAATTCCATTACCGCCGCCTGTTCAGATTCGCGTGCAGGTCAGCACGCTCGGACACGGAATGGACTCAGAAAGTCATAGTATGGAACCCGCGCTACACGCATGGGGCTACGAGGGCGCGCGGGCGCCCTCCGACGAGATGGGACGACCGCCTCCAAGGATTCGCCCGCGATGTCTTGCATAATGTATATCGCTGGTATGACAGTGTGCACGATGGTGACGAGGACGCATTCGTCGAGTATTGCATTCACGCGTGAGGACCGCCCCCGTTCTTTTCTTTCCTCCCCCCTCCCCCCTCGGAGGCACAACGTTTGCTCTCCGTTTACGCACGTGTGCGCTCAGGCCACTGTGCTGGAGCCTCGCCCGTCTACGGGCCAACCCATGTGATTTGACCGGGCCTCTGTCTGCACCCCGTCGTGGGCCCTGGTCAAGGTGTAGGGAGCTCTGTCCTCCAGGGTAACAGATCCTTCTCTGAGGGGTGCCACCGACCCCTTTCGTCGTAGACTTGCGAGTCTCTTCCCCTCGTGGCTGTCCTAATCACCGAATCCTCGCTCCTCGCTCCTCGCTCCTCGCTCCTCCTTCTCCTCCTCCTCCTCCTCCTCCTCCTCCTCCTCAACCTCCTCCTCCTCCTCCTCCTCCTCCTCCTCTTCCCCCTCCCCCCCCCTCCCCCCTCCTCCTCCTCCTCCTCCTCCTCCTCCTCCTCCTCCTCCTCCTCCTCCTCCTCCTCCTCCTCCTTCCTCCTCCTGCTCCTCCTGCTCCGGCTGCTCCGGCTGCTCCTCCTCGTCCTCCTCCTCCTTCTCCTCCCTCCCTCCCTCCCTCCCTCCCTCCCTCCCTCCCTCCCTCCCCTGCTCGCCCACCGCCGTATGGCGGCACGGTCGCCCAGAGGGCGGCGTGGCGGCAGGGGGTCAAGCAAGGTCTTGGCGGACCCAGCCTGGGCCACATGTTTTTCCACGGTGGCCATCGGGTGGTTTGATGGGCTCGAGTGTTGCTGTTGCTCCTCCTCGCCTCCGACCTCCACGTCCCCCTCCTCCTTGCCTCCTCCGTGCCTCCTCCTTGTCTCTCCTCCTCCTCCTTGCCTCCTCCTTGCCTCCTCCTCCTCCTTCTCCTTGCCTCCTCCTCCGCCTCCTCCCTCCTCCTCCGCCTCCTCCTCCTCCGCCTCGTCTTTCCTCCTCCTCCTCCTCCTCCTCCTCCTCCTCCTCCTCCTCCTCCTTCCCCCCATCTCTTCCCATCTCCTCCTCCTCCTCCTCATCATCATCATCATCCTCCTCCTCCTCGGGGCTCCCGTCGTGGGGGCCGCCGCTCGCAGAGTGATACCGCGCACGGTGGGTTGCACGTCTCCGAGGTTTACTGGGACGTTCTCGGTCTCGCTTGGCTCGGCCGTGGGCCCGTTACCGTTTCGCCGTCGCCGCCTCCTCACCCCCGGAAATTTTGGAGCATGTGCATTACCAGTGGCGGGCTGTCTTTCACATCCCAGGACTTTTTGATGGTCGGGGACGACGTCGGGGTGGTGTGGTGTATACACGCTTTCCCCGTTCCCCTGGGGAAACAACGAACACTGTATACACCAGGATCCCGTAGACACCTGGATCCGCTTTCCTGTGCAAGTGTCCGTGCAGGGCCGGAAAAAACGTCGGTGTACAGAGTTTGTTTCCCTGTTTCTACCTGCGGCAGTTGGAAGCGCATCCTGGTCGACGGGCGCGTCACGGAGCTGGTCCACGCCACCCACCTCGACGACCTCCTGAAGGACACGCCCGAGGCCTCGGCGCGATCGGGCCAGGGGGACTGTCAGGGACAAGCTTCGAGCTTCGAGGCTCGAGGCTCGAGCTTGTTGGACGCACGGGGCGAATCGACACGGAGGGGTTCGTCGTCTCCTCCCTCGGGGGGGTCTCTCGCCGGGCCCCAGGACCGTCAAGAAACGACTCGGGACGAGAGGCCCGTTCCAGGGTGTGGGTCGGGACCTCCTCCTCCTCCTCCTCCTCCTCCTCCTCCTCCTCCTCATTCTTCTTACTCTTATCATTATTATTATTAATAGTATGTTTAATATTACTAGTATTATTTATATTACTATTAATATTATTTTTAGTGTTATTCTTCTTCTTCTTATTATTATTATTATTAATAATATTATTAATGGTTGTGGCTGCGCAGACATGTAGCACCCCGCAGTTGCGGATAAGAGCGGAGGGGGGCGGGCGCGGGTTGGGTCGCGGGTGGGTCGCGGGGTGGGTCGCAGGGGGGTCGCGGGGGGCTCTCGGGCGAGGACGACGACGGCAGCAACAACAACAAGCAACAACAATCCGGCCACGGACTCCCACTTCAGCCACGCACCCATGGGGCAATGAATGACCGTGCGGCCCCCTCGCCGATGATCAGGCGATCGCAAGCATGGATCAAGGGGGGACGTGGATTAGCGACGGGTCCTGTTTCCATGGGAGATCGCGGATTCCCGCCGCCGACCGAGGCGGCACTTGCCGCATTTGGGGGAGGGCGCCTCCCCCGATCCATGGATTTGGCGGCCGCGCGCCCGATCCATGGATCGCTAATCCATGGTTGCGCGCCCCCGATCTGATAATGCCGATGTTCGAAGTGTCCGAGGTTTTCGGACGTTTCCAGCGCTGGTCCTCGGCGGCCTCCGGGCGTCGGGGTGTTCTTTGCACCAGCGGCGCCTCGTCGAGGACCTTTCGAGTGGGTGCCTGGTGCCCGGGTCGCCGCCGTCGTCAATCGCTGTCGCGAGGGAGAGCACGCGCGGGACAGGACGGGGCTCGGTGCGAAGAGGGAGGGAGACCAACAGCTCCTCGTGTGCCATCTATACGCCACCACCGTGCCTGGCCAGGGCCACTCCGGGCTCCACCATGGTGTCTAGAGTCTAGACCCTCTCTGGCCCCGGCCAGGAGGCGTATGCTCCATGCCAGGGCCCAGGATGGCCCCCGCCAGGAAGGGCGGTGCTGTATAGATGCCTTCTGCGAAACAGCAGCTTCTGCTGTCCTCAAGGAGGGGAAAGCTGGGTAAGGCAGGGACTTGCGGAGGTCCGCGCGGAACTCTTGGATCGGCGGCGGGCCCCCCCATCCCAGGCGCGCGGAGCGCGCCAGGGGCAGCGCTGGAGGCGCCGCCTTGGGGGGGGGCCAATGCCGATCCGAGAACGCCGCGCGGAGCTCCGAAAGTTGAAAATGATGCAGACTGTTTTCGGATGGATCTCTCAAGCTCTACGCCGCGCTCTCCGCCGCAGGAAGACGGCGAAGCCTCAGGAGAGCGCGACATCGACAGTGTAACTCCGCACACGTGACAAATGTAAACGAGCATGAACGCAGCAAAGCCCCAGGAGAGCGAGGCATTAACAGTGTAGCTCAACATTGACAGCGTAGTGCTTGAGAGATCCATCCACAAAAAGCAGGCGGCCGAGAGCTTGAGAGATCCATCCACAAAAAGTTCCCCGATGCCGATTCTCTGGGTGTCCGGCCATGGACCGCCCGCGCGGACCTCAGAATAATCCGTGAAATTGTGCAGACTGTTGTTCACCGATGCCGATGCTCTGAGTGCCCGACCATAGACCCGGTGGCCACGCGAGGCACCGGCTCGCCCGGCCAACAGCGGCCGCCGAAGGCGTTGGGCAACAGCTGTTGTTGGGCCTCGTGCCCGGTGTTCCCGTACCCATGTCGAGCGTCCACGATGATCTAGGCCTCCCAGATAGGGTCGGAGTAGGTGGGGTCGGAGGATCGCGCCGCATCGCCGATGCATCGCCGATGCGGCTCGATGTGGAGACCGTGCTTCTCCACTGCCGACGTCGACGATGCATCGCATGTGCATCGCCGATGCATCCCCGATTTCTCGGCGATGCGGCGCGATCCTCCGACCAAATCTGCTCTGACCCCTTGTAGGAGGCCTCCAAAGGAGCAAACGGGTCTCGACCGAAGAGGTGGAGATACCCTGGATGAGCGGAGCTCCGCGCGGATTTCCTGGATCTGCGCTGGCACTCCCTGGCGGCTCCGGCGCCCCCCCTGGCGCACGGAGCGCGCCATGGGGAGGGGGCCGAGCGCCGATCCAGGAAGCCCGCAGGGAGCTCCGGGCCTCGTGCAGCGTCGTCCGCACCCTGCTTCTGCACGTCCGAGCTCCGCAGCTGCCTGCACGCCTTCCTGTGCTCAGCTGCGTTCTTGCTCTGATGGACTCTGCGCAGGCCGGAGGGAAGCTTCAGAGGAGGAGGATACGAGGAGGAGGAGGAGGAGGAGGAGGAAGGAGGAGGAGGAGGAGGAGGAGCAAGAGGAGGAGCAGGAGGAGGAGGAGGAGGAGGAGGAAGAGGAGGAGGAGGAGGAGGAGGAGGAGGAAGAAGAAGAAGAAGCAGAAGCAGAAGCAGAAGAAGCAGAAGAAGAAGAAGCAGAATAAGCAGAAGAAGTAGAAGAAGAAGAATAAGAATACTAGTACTACTAATAAGAAGACTAATAATAATAAGAAGAATACGAAGAAAAATAATAAGAATAATAATACGAATAATAATAAGAAGAAGAACAAGACGAATAATAGTAAGAAGAAGAAACACAATAAGAAACATAATACTAATAATAATAAGCAGAAGAACAAGAAGAAGCATAATACTAATACTAATACTAAGAATAATAATAAGAAGAAAAAGGAGCAGGAGGAGGAGGAGGAGGGAGGAGGAGGAGGAGGAGGAGGGGAAGGAGGAGGAGGAGGAGGAGGAGGAGCAAGGAGGAGGAGGAGGAGCAGGAGGAGGAGGAGGAGGAGGAGGAGGAGGAGTGTGCGATGTCTGTGTCGGCCGCGGCCGTGCCAATGAGGCGTCGAGGCCGCCGACCGTGATCTACGTCCACGACAGCACGCGGCCGGATCGAGGGCGCCTGCGGCGAGCCACCGAGGATCGACCCCCCGAGGTCTTGGCGTCGCATGGCCTGAGATGAACTGCGTGTTTTTCGGGGCTGACACGTCGATTAAGGAATTGGCCGTTTTCGGTTCGCGAGAGGGCGTCGCGGCCGTCATGTTTGCGGGTCCAGGTCCGTCGGTTTCGGTCCCAGGCCGTTTTCACTAAGGGGAGGTCTACTAAAGGGAGGTTTGTCCACCGCCGAGTTTTGGGAAGTCGAACCTGCTTCCGAAACGTGGACTGCGTGTTCTCGGAGGTAGGTTCGACTTCCCAATCGACGCAGCTCCTCTTTGGATGCAGGTTCGATTCCCCAATGCACGCAGTTCCTCTTCGGAAGCAGGTATGACTTCCCAGTACACGCAGTTCATTTTTGGAAGCAGGTTCGATTTCCCAATGCACGCAGTTCATCTTCGGAAACAGGTTCGACTTCCCAATAGACGCAGTTCATCTTTGAAAGCAGGTTCGATTTCCCAATGCACTCAATTCATCTTCGGAAACAGGTTCGACTTCCCGGTACACGCAGCTCATTTATTTTTGGAAGCAGGATCATTTTTGGAAGCAGGATCGACCCCCGAGGTCCTGGCGTTAAGTCGGGCGTGTCCCTCTACAGGAAGAATATTCAAGATAATAAAAAATAGTCTGGGGACGATGTTTAACCATTTTTGATATTAGGGGGTACTTTTTGTGAATATCTTTTGCTGTTCGTTCAAAATGCGCCTGTAGGGATACATGCCCGACCTAATCCTGGCGTCGCATGGCTTGTCTTCAGCACGGGCGCTGCTGCCACGTTTCGGGCCCCGGGGCCCTCCCTCACCGAGCGCGTTCCTCCGCTTGCAGAGTGCCTGCTCGCAATCGTCGGAACAAAAAGCATGCCTGCCTCGGTGTAGCAGATCGTAGGTCCCCCGCGGCGGATCCGGGTCGTTTGCGAGCAGGTACGTTGCGAGTGGCGGAACGCGCTTGCCTACTCACGGACCGCGGCGGCTCGGAAAAATTGCGGCAGAAAGATGGGGTCCAGGGCTCCACACTGGCAGCAAGGGTGAGCGAGTTCCCAAGGTGTCCCTTGCATCCTTCCCCTTCGGCCCATCCTTGGCTACTTTCGTCGGCCGCGCCCCGCTCGAAAAGTGTCGACATGCCATTCCAGGGTCCTTGCATCCTTACCGTGCATCCTTACCATCACTTTTGATTGTAGCAGAGTTTATAATACAATATGGAAACTGTTTCGTGGAGTCCAATCTCAACGACTCTCTCAGGGTCTTCGGCGAGTCACTGGAAAACCCCAAGACGGCTCCGAGCGTCCACGGAGCTTCCCAAGGAGGCCCCCCAAAGGCCCGAATTCTTCCGAAACCTTTAGCGGAGCTAGCGGCTTTTGTTGTCTGGCCTTCTCGCTTCCGACGGGCTGCTGAGGCCTCAAGTCAGCCACGCGCAGAGGGGGTGGGGGGAGGGGGGAGGGCTTCTTAGAAGCACCCCTGCTTCTCAGATGTGAGGCCGGCGCCTTTGAGAAGCAGCCTCCTTCTAAGAAGCCCTCCCCGCTCAATCTGACCCCTTGTGCGCGCCGCCACTCAAGGCGGCGCTCGAGGTGGCCCAAGAGGACCCCGAGAGAGAGGCCCAGGACGGCCCCAATGCGCGCCCCAAGAGGATAGGCTTGGTGCTCACACGAGGGGACCCCGTCGATGAGGAGGAGGAGGATATGAGGAGGATGAGGAGGAGGAGGGGGAGGAGGAGAAGGAGGAGGAGGAGAAGGAGGAGGAGGAG